GGATTTCAGTTCAAGAAGATTACCAGTTTCTTTATTAAGGAAATATGAAAAGATTACTCTTCGTTTGAACAAAGCCGAATTGGATTTTAATTTTTTACATAATTGCAAGGCATTCGGAGTTTTTCCTAAATTTATATGTATATATATATGTATATGTATATGTAAATATATATATATGTATATGTAAATATATATATATATATATGTATATGTATATATATGTATACATACATATAAATACATATACACACATGCACACATATATACATATATGTAAAATAATATAAAAAGCATAATAAAGAAAAAGAAAACAATGATAAATGAGTTGATCTATCTATTGCTTAAATTTTTAAAATTTTTATCTTACCTATATAATTTCGAACTTATAGGCCTATACTGAATCCATTTCAATCCGCTTACAAAGTAGGTCATAATACCGAAACTGCACTTACTAAGATTCATAATGACATTGTCTGTGCTTTTGATTGCAAGCGTGCTGTTGCCCTTGTAAGGTTTGATCTTTCATCAGCATTTGACACAGTCGATCACCAAATTCTTTTACAACGTCTTTCAGTTTATTACAAAGTTTCTGACACTGGGTCCCCTTCTTTTTTACCTGTACGCCTATCTATCCCCCTTACTGATATAATAAAAAATCTTAATTTACAATATCATTTATACGCTGATGACTTACAAATTTATATTGATTTTAATCCCTCAGAATCAAATGAAATTACTGCTCGACTTGAAGATTGTCTTTGTAAAATATCATCCTGGCTTTCTCACAACATGCTACGGCTTAATTATACTAAAACTGAATTCATAATTTACTGCACTAAACACTTTCGATCTAAAATTAATATTTCTTCCCTTTCCTTTAAGTCTTGCACTATATTTCCTTCACATTCTGTTAAAAACCTTGGTGTTTACTTTGATGAATTTCTTTCTTTTAATAACCATATAAGTCACATTACTGAAACTACTAACTTTCACCTACGTAATATCGCTAACATCAGAAAATATATTCCAAAACACACAGCTGCCATATTAATAAATGCATTGGTCACGTCCTATCTTGATTATTGCAACTCACTTTTCTACTCATTACCAAAAACTGCGATAAATCACCTTCAACGTCACTAAAATTCTGCTGCACGTATTCTAACACTTACTTCAAGACGCTCACATATATCACCATCATTTACATTGGCTTCGTATTGAATCTCGTATCAAATATAAAATCCTGTTATTAACATTCAAAGCACTTTTCACAAACAACCCATTACTTTGTTGATCTCATTCATGCTTATGTCCCACCTACTTGCCTCCGTATTTCAGAAAATCTTTTAGTTGTTCCTCGAATTACCACCAAAACATTTGGTTATAGATCATATTCATTTTCTGCTGCATCCCTTTGGAATTCATTGCCCAAACATATTATTGAATCACCATCAGTTGTTGTTTTTCGCACCTTTTTACCATCTAAATGTTAAGCGTCTTTGATTTTTACTTCTATAGTTGAAATTGGCGCTAAATAAATTATTATTATTATTATTATTATTATTATTATTATTATTATTATTATTATTATTATTAAATACCGGTATTGTTTTTAAATGAGAATTTATTTACCGCATATATGACAATTTAAGGTATAGACCAGGAGCCCGGGGGTGTCAGCATAGCTGGAAAGTTAACCAATTTTTGTGTATATAGTAATGTTCTATGTGCCTGTCTTTGTAGGAGAATGGGCATCTGCCGGTCCCATTGTGGTGGGTGTGGTCAGGAGGGGTATAAAAAGGGCCCCAAAAATTGAGCTAGATCTACTTGTGAATTAACCCAATGAAACCTATCAGAATATATTCGGCATAGTTCAAGATATCATGAATGGACAATGCCAGACATTTCCAATGGTGGGGGTGGCTGCCAGACACAAAAAACCGGTACCCCAAAATTAAGCTAAATCAGCTTGTGAGTTAACCCGATGAAACCTACTGGAAAATGTTGAGAATAGTACCAGGTATCAGGAATGGTCACCGCCAGACATTTTTAATGGCGGGGTGTACCTGCCAGACACCCCCTTATAGCCCACCCCTGAAAATTGACCTAGATCAGCTTGTGAGTTAACCCGATAAAACCTACTGGAAAATGTTCGGCATAGTACCAGGTATCATGAGTGGCCACTGCCAGACATTTTTGATGGTGGTGTGTACCCGCCAGACACCCCCTTATACCCTGCCCCCCCCCCACCAAAAAAAAATAACATAGATCAGCTTGTGAGTTAACACGATCAAACGCATTGCAAAAAATGGGCATAGCACCAGGTATCACGAATGGCCACTGCCAAACATTTTTAATAGTGTGGTGTATCTACCAGACACCGCCGTATATACCACACACCCCCCCCCAAAAAAGGAAAAAGTGATCAAGATTATCTAGTGAGTTAACCTGATGAATGTTACATTTGACATGAGTGACCACAATGAGAGTCAAACATTTGTGGCGGAGTTACCCGATGAAACATATTGGAAAATGTTTAGCATAGTACTAGTGGCCACTGCTGAACATTTATAGTGGTGGGGTTTACCCACCAGACATCCCCCTTATTCCCCACCACCAGAATTGACCTAGATTAGGTAATGGGTTAGCCTGATGAAACTTACTGTGGTAAGTCCAACATCGTAGTCCAAGTTATTATGAATGGCCACCACCAGACAATTCTGATGGTGGGGTGTGTCTGCCAGACACCCCCCTATTCCCTAATTTAACTAGATTATCTAGTTAACGTGATGAAAGTAACTGTGAAGTGTTCGGCATTGTGGTGGGCAAAGTGATAGAAAACCCCTAGTCTTTTACGGCCCGACACTGATCACCTGTAGAAAGTAATATTAAAACTGAGAATCAAATGGCATAAAAGCACTGCATGATGGTTTTTGGAAGCACACTTGAAACATCAAAGCTATGTTTCGGCCCTCTGTGTTAAATCGAAAATTCACTTTGGCCCTCCGATTGATTTTTATGCCCACCCCTACTCTAAATATGAGACTATTACTGTATACTGTAAGGATGGAAGTGTGGGTTAATAAGGGTGGGTGGAGAGCCATGAAATTAGCTTCAGACTGGATGGAAAACTTCAAGTACTATAGTAATACTATATAATCTTTTATTATTTTTAGTAGTCAATATTACAACAGTTTAAAAATGAGATTCTATACAGGATTTAAATTTTATAAAAGCCCAATATTCAGTAGAGTAGATTTCTCTACAATTAAAAATCGTAATGGTAACTGGGTTTAGGAGTTCGTGCTTCAAACAGGTTATTTCATCCGTAGAAGCCTTTTAATGAAGAAAGTGTACCATTTTAGGAATGGTTGCCTAAGTTAAAACTCACTAGGGCTATATGAAATTAATTATAAGCTTGAATTGTTAATCTTTCTGTAAGGAATACTACAGTAACTTCACGTTTAATTTTAATTACAAGTTGAATTATATAAAATTCAAATTAAATGTCGTAAGTATTATNNNTTAAATGTCGTAAGTATATAGTTTGCCTATTTGCCTAATTTGGTTTAGAAAAATCTAAAACTTCTTTATTACAGGAATGTTAAACTTGCCTTATTTGCTCACTTGGTAGTGCTTAATAGATAAAAAGGAACTCCTGTAAACTAAACCCAGTTCCATTACAATTTTTATTTGTACTGGAAATCTACTCGTACTGAATATTGGGCATTCATAAACTTTCAATCCTGTATGGAATCTCATTGTTAAACTGTTGTAATATTGACTACTAAAAATAATAAAAGATTATATAGTATTGTATGATAGGCCTACATTTTGCAAATTCAGGGATGTAGTTATGGGGGTGGGAGAGGAGGTGGAGTCACCCAGCCTTGAAGTTTTCCATCCAGTCTAAACCTAATTTCATGGCTCTCCACCCACCCTTATTAACCCCACACTTCTATCCTTAAAATCCACTCATATTATTTAGAGTAGGGATGGGCATAAAAATCAATTGGAGGACCAAAGTAAATTTTCGATTTAACACAGAGGGACGAAAACTACCTTTGATGTTTCAAGTGTGCTTCCAAAAACCTTCATGCAGTGCTCAGTTTTATACTACTTTTTACAGGTGATCAGTGTCGGGCCGTAAACTACTAGAGGTTTTCTATCACTTTGCCCACCACAATGCCGAACATTTCACAGTTACTTTCATCACGTTAACTTACTAGATAATCTAGGTCAATTTTTGGGACGGGGAATAAGGGGGTGTCTGGCAGATACACCCCACCATCAGAATTGTCTGACGGTGGCCATTCATAATAACTTGGACTACAATGAACATCTTACACAGTAAGTTTCATCAGGTTAACTCATTACCTAATCTAGGTCAATTCTGGTAGTGGGAAATAAGGAGATGTCTGGTGGGTAAACCCCACCACTATAAATGTTCAGCAGTGGCCACTGGTACTATGCTAAACAATATGTCCTCGGGTTAACTTCGCCACAAATGTTTGATTGTCATTGTGGTCACTCATGTTACATGTAACGTGTCATGTCATGTAACATTCATCAGGTAAACTCACTAGATAATCTTGATAAATTTTTCTTCTTTTTGTTGGGGTTGGGAGGGACGGGGCATATAGGGGTGTCTGTGGTAGATACACCACACTAACAAAAATGTCTGGCAGTGGCCATTCGTGATACCTGGTGCTATGCCCATTTTTGCAATGCGTTTGATCGTGTTAACTCACAAGCTGATCTATGTTATTTTTTTTTGGGGGGGGGGCAAGGTATAAGGGGGTGTCTGGCGGGTACACCCCACCACTAAAAATGTCTGGCAGTGGCCACTCATGATACCTGGTACTATGCCAAACATTTCCCAGTAGGTTACATTAGGTTAACTCACAAGCTGATCTAGGTCGATATAAAGGGGTGTCTGGCAGGTACACCCCACCATTAAAAATGTCTTGCAGTGGCCATTTCTGATACCTGGTACTATGCCGAACATTTTCCAGTAGGTTTTATCGGGTTAACTCACAAGCTGATCTAGGGCAATTTTTTGGGCGGGGTATTTGGGGGTGTCTGGCAGGTATACCCCACCATTAAAAATGTCTGGCGGTGACCATTCCTGATACCTGGTACTATGCCCAACATTTTCCAGTAGGTTTCATCGGGTTAACTCACAAGCTGATCTAGCTTAATTTTGGGGTACCGGTTTTTTGCGTCTGGCAGCCACCCCCACCATTGGAAATGTCTGGCATTGTCCATTCATTATATCTTGAACTATGCCGAATATATTCTGATAGGTTTCATTGGGTTAATTCACAAGTTGATCTAGCTCAATTTTTGGGGCCCTTTTATGCCCCTCCTGACCACACCCACCACAATGGGACCGGCAGATGCCCATTCTCCTACATAGACAGGCACAGAGAACTTTACTATACACACAAAAATTGGTTAACTTTCCAGCTACGCTGACACCCCTGGGCTCCTTCTCTAGTAAGTAAACATCTTAATGAATTTTGTTTATATTATATAGGTAATTTGTATTTTTAAAGTTTCATGTTCATGGAATACATCGTTCCATTCGACTGCCTGTATATTATTAATAGGTCTAATAATAATACTAATAATAATAATAATAATTATTATTATTATTATTATTATTATTATTATTATTATTATTATTAATTGCCAAATAAATGTTATTGGATTGAATTGAATTGATTATGCCTAATGTTTTCTTGAGTTATACCTTAGTAAGAATAGGATTTCTGATAAGCTCATACTCTAAAACAATCTATAAAATTCTTCCTATTATGAGGTATGCAATTTCTTATTGCTTTCAATTCTCATTATATTGAATACGGTACTAGGTTGTGAACAGATGCATAAGAAATAGAGGAAGGAAGACAGGATATCTTGTTGCTCTTGTGGATATCACATCTATTTCCTCAACGTTCTGTATAACCATATTAATGTCTGCATCAACAAACAAAATGAGCAATGAGCGGCAGCATGATTTCTGTACTTTTACAGTACTTTTGAGGTCAGTTCCAGTTTTTTTTACTTTTATTATTTTGCCTACTTTTATTTCAAATTATCTGTTACGGTTGTTGGTAGCATAATATGCTATATCATTAAATATATTTCATTTAATTAATGTTATTTAATTTGTTTAATTATCAGTATTAACATTATGTTAAATTGTTTTATAAAGTATGCGTATTATATATGTTTTTATGTTTATATTACTAACGTTTATATTACACCGAATGCAATTTCTTATTGTTTTAATTGTAAACGCGTACGTGTGATTGGTTGATGATAGAAACGCGCTCACTTGCTAACCGATAGCGCTTGCTAACCGTTAGCGGTGTCTGTGACATTGAACGTTTTATTTGCACATAAACCAAAGCGAACTATAAGAAAAACCCTGCAAAATATACATTCAAAACAAGAATTATATAATGCGTTATAATTATATAGTATATCAAGCATAACAACATTAGGCAACTTATACAATTTAACAACAATTCTGATATAACCTGGCAACACACCAACATCAGAAACAATTTATGATTAAATAGCATACTATTAAAATGGTGTAATAACTTTTATTTACCTCAGGCTAGAGTCTGCTTAATGTACCAGTCTGTAAACTACGACTATTGGACGCTCCAACAGCACTTCTGAAACTACAGACTATTGGACGCTCCAACAAACTTCTGTTAACTACAGACTAATAATGGCCACCAAAACCTCTGTAGCTTCAGAATATTACTGGCCACCAAAACTGTTGTAACTTCAGACTATTACTGGCCACCAAGCTAACGGTATATTAATCACTAAACACGAATATAACGATTATGAGTAATAACAATCACTCTCCATTAGCGGAATGTAGAATAACATTAATAATATACAGTATTAACAACTCATGTAAATGTACAGCACAATAATATTAACAATGCATTCAATACCGGCATTAGTCCAATGTGGACATGAATTAACTACATATTATAATATATGATATAATATGCTTATAACTTATTGTATCAATGCACACATCATTAAATTGAATTAACTATAGATTCTAATATACACTTAATCATGGACTTCCGAACTGCATATTGCCAAAATAACGTGTGCAGGGCTTGCAACGGAACAAACGAAAACTCGTTGCAAGAGCCCACAAAAGCATAGGCCTATATACTGCATGCATGCACGAGATGAAATGTTACAATAACAATAAAGCAAACAATAATAGCTGCAGCGCAATCCCCATCGCACGAACAAATCGCATCATCACAATACAATTTTAATAGATTAATTTAACATGAACATAGTAATTCATACTCAAACAATACATTAAATTCAAATATAAATATAATAAAGTTAACGAATAAATAACAATAACTAAAACGTGTAAGTATCACTACTACAATAATAAGATTAAAATTTGCAATCTTATAATAAATTTTATACAGCCGGTGTTATGTATTGACTTAGGCTACTATGGCTAATGACAGGTACGCTTTCACCATTAAAGGCTTTTCTATGAATGTAATGACCTGTACGAAACACGAGCTCCTGTAGACCAAACCCAGTACCGTTACGATTTTAATCGTGCGGGAAATACCCTCAAGACAAATAAACAGATTACAACAATAAAAACACAAAAGGAAAAAGCAGCAAAAAGAGGCTTAGGCAAACCACAAACAAGTCTTGAGCGCACGTTTAAAAAGATTAGGATCTGAGATATCTCAAAGGTCAGTTGGAACTCAGAGGAAATAAAACAATTTGGAAGAGTATTCCAAAGTTTAGAAGCATAACAAGGAAATGAAAAACCTCCAATTCTCTTGTTGTAACGGAGGGATCTATGATCATGGTATTAAGGTCGATAACGTACTGCAACTACTGAAACTGTTAAAATAACTTGCTTTTATAAAGACGAAATAAGTATTTCTACATTTTTTTACTCCTGTATTGGTTGTCTTTGTGCAAATCATATCTTTGTTCAAAATAGCTCTCAAGAAAAATCTGTTGTCGGCTGCTTTTTCTTAGTTATCTTGTTTGCCTTGCTTGCTTGCTGAATTTGTTATAGTTAGTTATCCCCATTACTTGAGCACCCGTGAGTTATGATAGGCCGACCCTGTGCCTCAAATTGCCTGTAAACGGCGTGGTGTTATGTTTCTCTTCTTGTAGCTTTTAGGTTCACGGTAATTTTTGTTCCTTCCTTGGGTAGCGTCTTGAACACTACTGCAGTGAATTTGTGTGCTTTATAAGTCTTATTATTGTTAAAACTTGAATAAATAACAAAAACGAAGATGTAACTCATTTCTTATCATTTTCTTAAGGTTTCGAAACCTCCTTACCTACCGTAAGCGGTATATCTAAGTCTCGCAATGAGACGACGTAAAGCAGACGAGAATTGCCTATGACGGAACACGTAGATGAACGGGTTGACTGCCGAAATCATACACAACGACACCTCCGACATCAAATCATACCAATATATATCAGAACGTTGAAAAAATATGAAGATAACACCTCTGAGAGCAAAAGGTAAATAGGCAATGACAAATACGCAGACTATCAATGCGCATGTCTTAGCCGCTTTAAATTTCTTATGAATAGTTGTCTGTGTGCCACCTGTCTTCTGAGATGTTGAATATATGGTATTCATATGCTTCCTTGCCACCATGAAAATATTGAAGTACATTATGACCATTAAGATTACACATGTAAGACCCAGGATCAATGCGACGTAACGTTGAACTGTAATACCTTGTGGATTCATCTGGTAGCAAAGAAAAACAGCTTCAGTCCGTTTGCCTTTCCAGAGAAATTGGATGCCGCTATACATGCAGGCTATAATCCAGGAGACAGCGATAGCACAATTAACTCGGGTCGGAGTAACAATTTGTTCATATCTTAAAGATTTAGCTATTGAGACGTATCGGTCCATGGTAATAAAAACAAGATGAAGAAACGACGTCGATACAAAAATTTCCATGGGGATGTATTGTAATTGACAGTTTTCAATGTTCGGTAAGTGGAGAGATCCCCGAATGACAAGCCCCCACACAAGGATGGGGACAGCGATAATCCCAGTGAGTAGGTCAACAAATGCTAAGCTGGCGAGTAAAGTAAACTGTGGCCCTTGTAAACTTGGAGTTCTGCGAATGACGATGAGAACAAATGCGCTTCCACAAATGATCACCAAGTCTAATGGTACATAAACAATTAAAACAAATATTAGATTATCCCTAATTTCATTGGTCGTGACGTTTCGGCTGACAGTAAAATCCATTTTACAGTCGAAAAACAGAACTTAATCAAGCCGCATTCCAGCAAGCCGCACTCTCATAATGAAAACTGAAACAGAAAATGCTATTATACTGTACATAGAGTAGTCTGATGACGTGACATCACTAAGCACTATACTAATTTCCTTCAATACAGAAGAATATACAACTAGAGGGCACTCTCAGAGTGCATACTTCCGCCCACATCATAAATCTCATCTGAATAAATTTGGCACTCATTTTCCCCATGAAAAAAAAAAAAAAATCAGTGCAGTGCTGATGCCTAAATGGCTTGGCCGGTAATAAGATGTTAAGTTCAGGACGGACAATTAAATATAAGATGATGAAAAAAAAAATAAATAAAAGATATCATGGGACTCTAACCTGGGATAAATAGTGTGGAAAACACTCTCTAAAGCACCCAACCAAACTGTTTTCACCCGTATAGGTGTGAAATTAATGACAATGTGTTTTGTTACATTTCTTCGGCAAAACCCAGTATAAGCACACAAACACACGTAGTTCGTTCATTCGAGCGGTAAAGGTGCACGTTTTATGTGTAAAGCTAATCGACTGTATTTTGTTCGAAATATCTTTAAAACGACTTCACAGGCTTAATTGAAAATAACCCAATAAAGAAATAATTAAATCAAAGTGACGGTCCGGAGTAGGGTGTGGATGTGAGGACCACTTAAAGGGATTTAAGAGCAAACATCATAGACAAGATATTTTAAAAACTAACAGATATGAATGACATTTTTGTGAAACTTAATAACCAAATTACAAGGAAGAAATTATAAAGTGTTGCTGACGATCCAAATTCAGGTGTGAATTTGAGGGTCATTGAAATCCTAAGGTCCCAAACCTAAATATCTCTAAAAATAATCAATGGCTCTAAATGACACTACCCAGAATATTTTGTCATATTTCGATGAAGAAATGTTTAAATTTTGAATCATTAAAAGGAAAATGTCCAAGACCAGACATTTCAATAACTAATCAAGTGACCTGAATGAAACTTTCGTGAAAGTTTAACCAAGTCACAAGCTTGGCTTAACTAAACAACAAAGCATTGCAATTGAGCGCATCCAAACTCGGGTTTGTCGGTGCATTCTGGCCGATAAGTTCACTAGTTATGGTGATGCCCTTTCGCAGCTTGGACTGGAGAGACCGGCCGACCGAAGGGTCTCACTATGTAAAAAATTTGCTACAAAATCTAATAGATTTCATAACTGGTTCCTAAATAATAATGCATGCCACACCATGACACTACGCACAAATAAGCCATACAAAGAATATAAAACACGATTTATAAATAGCCCCTTACCATTATGACCAAAATCCTGAACTCACTATAGTAATTAGACCCTTGGGACGGTGGTTTCTTCGGCCTAAGCATTTGACACAGATGCGCCTTGCCGTGCATGATTCCTGTGGATTGAGCGGTTATTTTTTTTTAAAGTGTTTAAGATTTAATTTTGACTTAGATTTAACTTTTAAAATATACAAAATTAAATCTTAAACAATAGTATATATATTTATTGACTTTTAACTTAAATTGTTAAATTTGTCTTGCATTTCTTCTTTTGTAACTCTCGTCTTTGTATTTTGTGATTTCGTCTGTCTTTTTAATGTCTCTAATAAATTTCATATTTAATATTGCAAAATTTTAAAAATGATTTGTAAATTTTTAATTGCTAATTTTATATCTTTGTAATTTTACTCAGTCTTTCAACTCAGCATATGCTGCAACAGACTTTTTTGTATGTGAGGTTCTTTTTTACAATAAATATACCCAAATACAAGGAAGATATTATGAAGTGTTGGTGACGATCCAAATTCGGGTGTGCATTTGAGGGCCATTAGGTCCAAGACCTAAGTATCTAAAAAATGGATCAATGGATCAAAATGACGCTTTCCAGAATAGTTTGTCTTGTTTTAATGAAGAAGTGTTAATTTTGGTCACGATCCGAAGTAGGGTGTGGATATGAGAACCTTTTAAAAAATATGCTTACCGTATACCGTAGACAGATGTATGATGAATATTCAAATTAGTGCAATTACAGTAAATGTATACAGCGTTTTATATGTACTTCAGTTTTTGTGAACTGATTGGGAATATTTTAATGCATCTTTATATTTAAACACGTGACGCTAAGAACCATTGACTATACAGTATTTCCATTTCAACACCAATACTTGGTATGTATTTTTTTGTCAATTATAAAAGTAAATTTTCCATGAAACTACCTAGACTTGCCACAAGTCTCTAATTTATTTATTTTTCATAGTAATAGCATATTTCGGAAAGCGCCACCAGCGTCAGTTTATGTCGAGAAACTTTTTGATGCGAATTAGATTATTCCAGAAAAAGTATACTATGGAACGCCATGCAAATAAGTAATATGGAACGCTATTGGTGCCAAAATCGATTTATTCCTAAGCATTTTAACTGATTAAGACAAAGTTTAGGGACTGAAACCCAGTCTAGAAACTACCCAAAGCTGATAGGAAACCAGTTGAAAGTGCGTTTGGCGATATGACCAAGCTGATCGAACATGCAAAGCGTCTCTGGGAATGCTTACCTGCAGATTTTTTTGATGTCCCAAACTGCGATTCCTCTTGGACTCTACGGGGGAAATTGTTTTCTTGCCACTACTTCTGATTGTGTTCCACATAATATATTACTACTCGTAAAAATCTTTCCTGGTTTACTCAAGAAATTCACACTCAAATGCGCAAGCGAAACAATCTCTACCGTCGCGCCCAAGAGGTCGACCGGCACGCCAGAACATTGGTCCAGGTGTCGTAAAATTAGAAACTTAGTAGTTAAGGCCGGGAACTGCGTCTTGCCAAACATAATTATTTTAAAAGAGTTTGTGAAGACCCAACCGAGTCAATCTGGAAGGGAATGAATAATTTTATGAAAAAAACAAATGCCCCAGCGAAATTTTTGTGTTCTAGACGCCCGAAAATAACTTTTGAGGTGTTCTGAGCTATCATTTTTTTTCCTTTTTTTATCTTCCAAAAAGGGAGGGGGCGGGCCGCCCCTGCCCCCTCTCCTAAATCTGCCCCTGCGTAGATCAACTGTCTCAGCTCTAGTCAAATGAATGGCATGGATTACTTGACTCGGGCAGTGATGCTGGTTGTATTTTCTTCGATCTCCGTAAAGCTTTTGATTAAGCTTCGTTCCAATCTCTTTTTAATAATTTATATGTAACCGGAATTAATCCTGCATTATTTGGCCTTCTTACTAGTTACCTTAATAATCGTTTCCAAAGTGTTGTAATTGATGGATGTCATTCTGAATGGGTTCCAACTTTCTCTGGTGTTCCTCAGGGCTCCCTCCTGGGCCCTCCTTTTTCTTTCTTACAGCGATTCTGTCACTAATACGCCTCGTTCTATACTCCAAACTTACTTTATTTGCTGATGACATGTTGCTTTACTCGCCACATAAAACTTGACACTAAAGACCCCTTTTGAGAATGACATCAACAAAGTTAGCTGTTGGATATCCGAAAACAATTTAAAAGTGAATACGAAGAAAACAAAATTCATGTTAATATCGCGTCTAATCGTCCAAAATTCTCCTTTAAAATTAACGAAGCTAATGATATCGAGGAAGTTAACAATTATAAACATCTCTAATTATCTTTGTTGGTCACATCATTATTAATATTATTTGTAAGAAAATCAAAACAACTTGTTGGATATATTTACAGGCAATTTTACAATGAGTGCGACTCTAAGACGCTTTAAAACTTCATACTACCTTAGTTCGACCATAGAGAAAATACGGTTCGACCTTGGTTAGAATATGCTTACCAAGTTTTTGACCCCCGTATACTGTAAACATATTAAGCAGCTTAAATCAATCAAAAGATTTGCTCTAAAAGTCTGTTGTAAATATTGAGACATTTCGTATGCAGATAGGTGTAAGAAAATGAATATTATGACCCTTGAATCCAGACGTTTGGTACTCAAACTTGTAACATTGTTCAGATTCTGTCTCTTATTCACATCT